TATTTTATTGGTGTTTGAATAAATTGAACTGTTTTGATCACTTGATCAGTTTTTCCGATTTTATTTGCGTGTAACTTTTTGTAAATAATTTCCGATTTATATGTTCGTTTCCCATGATTTATAATTTATTATTTTACAATAGTTCCACCAGTGGTTAGATGCAATTACATTTTCATTTTTATGTCATTAAGCAGCAAGTGCATAAACTTGATGTCTTAGTAAAAATGTTGTGTTTTGAACTAGAAACTAAAGAGATTGAATCATTTAACATTTCTGTCAGTTGTCAATAAGATGTCACTGAGATACCCAACTCAGTGTACAAATCTCTACTTCCACACAACCAAACCTTGTCCCAGATACTATTAATACATATTTCCACACTGGAAAAGTCCTGTGAACATACAACATAAATGACACCTGATTTCAGGTTGTGAAGTCTACCTATACCACTTCTAATATCCATAATTGCATGATGCTTAGCACATTTCAGAATTGAACCATATAGCCCATCATCCTTCATCTTCCTTTGATGATTTTCCAGATCTTCACCATCTCAAACTAGCTATATCATCCAATCATGTTCATCATCAACATAGAAGTCCACCCAGCCCTCTGAAGCAAAAACAGCACCAACATCTGGAGAGATATGTACATCTTTTGGAAGCAGTTGTCTTGCTGCATGGTAAAACTCCATTTGCCACACTCTCTCCAGCAGTTGACCATCATGACCCACACAAAGGGTTTTCTTGAAGTCTCTGGGCTCATTAATTCAAACACCTTCTTGATAAAATCTTCAAAAGAATTTGGTAAAGTGTGTACATGGGTTCTAGAACCAAGACGTTCCTGAAGATAAGCTGCACGGACTAGTGGTGATGTGAAGTCAAGTTTCCTGTTTCTCAAATGATATCCTTGATGGAAATCTGAAAGGACATTTGTTTTGATCAGATGTTCTGAAATTGCACTGTGAGTGTCAATACCACCAGGTTGTAACAAGACTTTGTCAATAAGTTGTTGTTCTTCTTCAGATGTCAATATGACTTCTTGACATGCACATGTTTGCTACAATAATAATGGACTTAAGATCTCTAAAATCACAAACTATTAATTCGTGATCCACCAGTTAAGGAAAGGATTTAATTAATGCCAATCCGGGCAAATTTTTTAAATTTCATAGTAATAATAATAGTAATCGATTTTTCGTCCCCATAGAAAGTCATGCATTTATTATGTTACATAAAAAAAATTTTATATCAACCTGTGTAAATCAAAAGTAAAAAA